TATAGTTCTTAAGAGCTAGGGTCCAATGTTGTTCCAGTCTTTGAAAGCCAGAGTGTTATGGCTCTCTGAACTCAGGTTGAAGGCTGGTTGCTTTGTACTGTGGTCACCCACTGATGCTCCACACATGTCAGCCCTTATAGTCCCCAGCTTCAGGCAGTTGTATGCAGCGGAGGCAGACAGCATACACTACAGCAGGTAGTTTTTTCTAGTGTCTCTGCTTCCATTCAGCCCTGGGTGCTGGGAGCCTCAGCCCTACAACGGCAAGTGTCAGAGGTGCTGGATTTAGGGTTTTGTCATCCTCAGTTATTAATAGCAATGTGTCTGAGAGTGCATCTCCAAGGCCTGGCATCTTTCTGGAACTCTTCCAGGCAGCACAGCCTGCACTTTCTCTTCTCTTTACACACAGCCTTTATCTTTTGTTAGCCTTTGTTCTCTTTCCTCATTCACCTTTTGCTCCTGTTACTAGTCTGTCTTTCCTGGCCACTCTCTGGCACTCTTCAGCTGCCTTTCATCATTATTGCCCCTGTCACCACTGTCTGTCGCCGTTGCCGCCGCTGCCGCTTCCATTATCATTTCTCTTTCATGTTACTCCATCACCCTGCTCTAAGGATGAAGACCAAAAGTAGACAAGAAAAGACCACTCCAGAGAAATCCTTTAATAGGCCTGAAATTTCAGCACCAGATCATCTGATTATGTAGCCAGAGGGGTGTGTGTCAAGGGTGTCTATGCCAATCACATAAATTCATGTAAACGGAGGACTGGGTTTATTCTAGATAAAGTCTAGAACAAGTCAAGTCTCCTGCTTTGGCCAGGGTGGAAATGGCTTTTAATGGCAAAAAAAATTTACTACTTGCTATTTGAAACATCTGTGTGTGGCAGTGCCTTCAGGAGCCAGGGCTGTGTTCTAGGAGCCATCAACAGTGACTTCTCTATGGCTGGCTTCCTCAACACATCTGCCGAGTTTTCAAAGCAGCTAATACTAAAACAACGATAACCTGATAGGCAAGATTAAAATCATCCTAATCCCCAACATCTTAGCTTACTTAAAGGAAATGTAACATTAAAAGGCACCATTATCAGGATGCTGAAGCACACATCTATAACCTCAGCACTGGGAGGTTGAGGAAGAAAGGTCACAAATTCAAGGCCTGCTGGGACTACATGTGAGTTTGAGGTCAGCCCAGATTACTTAATGAAACCCTGTTTCAAGAAACCAAACACCAAACAAGGGAGGATGGTGGGGGTGGGGGAAAGCATATATTAAAGACTTACTAATAACTGTGACTCAACAGCTTTTAACATTGTTCTGACAATGTGTAACTCCAGCCCAATGCCCTCTTATCTGCTCAGCACAAACAGTTAAAAATAATTGAACAGATAGCAAGCAGGACCTTCTCTGTGCTAAGTACTTGACCTCTCATATGCCCCCATTTCAGATGCTATCCTTATTCACCTACTCCTATAAATGTCACATGACCCAAATTTCCAATTTTAATGCTTTCAAAAAATCTCCCCTCTTTCTTTCTTTGTGTATGTGTGTAAATATAGTACAAGCACAAAAGTGTGTGGTGTGAGAGCCCACATATACATCAGAGGAAGATGCTGAGTGGCCCGTTCTATCACACTCTGCTTTATTTCATTCAGACAAGATTTCTCATTGAACCTGGAGCTAGGTGGTCACCAACAATTTTCAATGATCTTCCTCTTTTCATCACCCACCCTTATTAGCATAGCCATACCTGACCTTTTTTTTTTGTTTGTTTGTTTGTTTTTTGTTTTTCCAGACAGGGTTTCTCCATGTATTTTTGGTGCCTGTCCTGGATCTTGCTCTGTAGACCAGGCTGGCTTTGAACTCACAGAGATCTTCCTGGCTCTGCCTCCTGAGTGCTGGGACTAAAGGCGTGTGCCACCACCGCCCAGCCATGCCTGAATTTTTAAAAACTGATTTTTTTATTGTGTGTGTGTGTGTGTATGTGTGTGTGTGTGTGTGTGTGTGTGTGTGTGTGTGTGTGTGTGTGTGTACACTCTCAAACAGTGTTCACAGTGTGCAGAAGGAGGCATTGGCCCTCCAGGAGCTGAAATTACAGACAGTTGTGATAAACCTGATATGGGTGCTGGGAATCGAACTTGGGTCTTCTGCAAGAGCAGTACTTTCTCCTAACCACTGATCTCTCTCTTCAGTCCCCATGCCTGGCATTTTATGTGGGTTCTGGTTCTAAATTCAGGTTATCATACTTGCCCAGCAAGCACACTTATCCACTAAGCCATCTCTCTATTCAAAGTCTTGTGCTTCTAGTAACTTCTCTATTGGCTTGTCTAGCTGGCATTTCAAATTCAATGAACTCAACTCCTTACCATTCCTTAACTCTGCTCTTTCCCCTGTCCCACTGATTTTTGTTTTGGGTTTCACTCTCCAATATTCACCTAAAATAGCTCACCTTACAGTTCATTTTTCTTTTTCTTTCTTTTTTTAAAAAAATAATTTATTCATTTTTATTTTATGTGCATTGGTGTTCTGCGTGTATGCATGTCTGTGTGAGGGTGTCAGATCTTGTAGTTACAGTAAGCTATTAGCTGACATGTGGGTGCTGGGAATTGAACTCATGACCTCTGGAAGTGTTCTTAACCACTGAGCCATCTCTCCAGTGCCCACAATTCATTTTTGAGACACAAAAGACACCACTCACTGGTGAAAATGAGAAATTAGTGAAAGTCAACAGTTTTAGCCTGTTAAGTCAGAAGTATCACTAGCTAGTGAGAAACTAAGGATATAGAGTAAATCACCAAATTAATATTTTTAAAAGCCAGTCAAAAGCAAATAAAGCTACAGAGCTGTATGGTTATAGGAACTAGAACAGCCATCTAGTTGAACAGAAGATTCCAGGCAGAATTCTGATAATGGCAGAGCCAAAAGAGAAATTAAGGACTTCTTCATGGGACCTATCTGCCAGAAATACCAGCTTAGACTTTCATATGAGAGAAATTGATTCCCATGTCATTATTTTGGGAAACTGTTGTGTAATAACTGTGCCTCTATGTAAACTAAATTTGCATATTCAGTTCTACTTTGTTGGCAGAATGGCAACAGCTGTGAGGGGGATGAACACTGTTTTTATAATGAATAGTGGCAATGGTAATGGCACCATAAAAAGAGATTTTAATAGCAACGAAGGAGAGGACGAGAGTAAGGAGATCCATAATGAGAAAGAAATTCAGTTGTAATTATACTGACTGTTGGGGGGGATGTAAGGGCTTAGTCTATCCATTGATTTACAATAAACTGTCACACAAATCTTAGTAGCTAAAACAATGACAATATTTATTTTGTTCATAAATATGGCAATTGAGAGTATTTGGATTATAAAGTGTCTACAGAGAGAAGGATTAGGGAGAAAGAAGAAGAGGAGGAGGGCAGGAGAAGGAGAGGAAAGAGGAGGGAAAAGAGGGGTGATGTAGGAGAGAGGGAAAGGGAGGGTAGAAGAGAGAAGGGAGGAGAGAAGAAAGGAAGAGAGAAGGAGGAGGAGGGTGGGTCCCTAGCCTGAGAGTCATCTATTATCACTTCTGTTTCAATCTGTTGATTAGAAGAAATATTTGCCTAAGAATGGCCCATATTCAAGAGAAGGTGAAATCAAGTCTACTTTTTAATTTGAAAAGTGTTAAGTTTCGGACTTGGTTTAAATACACTACAATGAGAGTTATCCCATCAAAGATTATCATAAATAATTTAACATACAATAAACAAAGAAGGGCATTGGCCAGTATTTGGTCCTATGCCTATATATAGCTGTATGGAACCTGGAAAAGGTAGTTGCTTTTCTGAATACCTATCTGCCCATCTGTTTCATACTCTATTAGTGTATGAAAAGGAAGAACAAGGGCTGGAGATGTAGCTTAGTTGGAAGAGTTCTTGCCTGACGTACTAGAATGGAACACTAGGTTCCATCCCCAGCACCCAGGAAACACATAAACTAGGTGAGGCTGTAGACACCGGTAATCCAGCACTCAGGAGATGAAAGCAGGAAGACCTTAAGTTCAAGGTCCTTCTCACCTGTGTATGGAAGTTGAAGCCAGCCTGGAGCAATTGGGACACTCTCTCAAGAAAAAAAAAAAAAAAAAAAAAAGGCAAGTGGGGGGATGAATATTTGGTAACAGCTAGCTTTCTTCGTAACATTAAAACCATTCATTCATTCGTTCATTCATTCATGTATTCTTCCCTCAAAATGGGCATAGATAGGGAAGGAGTAATATCCATCTAATGCTTAACTCTATGGAGTTCAGTACAACGCCTGTGTTGTAAACTTTTGAGAAATATAGAATTAAAATTTTCTTACTAGAGACCATTATTACAAAGTGGGAATCAGACCTTAGACCTCCATGCTCAATCTTATAGACAAGTTACCAATCTTTTAAGGTGCATGATATTCTATGAAAACCTAATATCTCACCCACCATCCCAAACCTTTCTAGTTTGCTCTACAAGGGAGGTGTGCTTCCAAAATACAGAAGGTAGTTTGTTTCCCATACTTTCTTGTTAGCGTATTGTTCAGAGCAGGATGTTGGTAAAGGGAGGCTCAAGTCTGTGTGCCCCTCTATTCCTTACATGGCCTTTGAGAGCCGAGATTATAAATCAGCAGTCAAGATGTTGCAGTTATCTCTCTGTTGCTTTCTTTAAGCTCCCAGGGCTCCATCCAGAAAATAGAAATACTTCATACGTTTTTGTAAAGCGAGATAAAGCCTATGAGAAGTGTTCACGAATGCCTAGCACAACCATGATCTTGTCAAACTTTTCTTTCTTTCTTATTTAAACTTTACTTTCTGCAGGCTTCGCTGAGCAAACAACTTTACTTATTTCGTCCGTCTTCCAGTGTAACTTGCACCTCTACTCTAGACACTTGGGAAACAGTTCCCAAATCTCCAGCTGCCACCAAGCATGGCGTTCTTTACGACAGTGTACGACGTAGCAACCAGCTAGCCTTCGCCGCTCGGGCCAATCGCGCTGCTCCTGGGAGGTGACGTACCTCTCTTGCGCATGCGCAGGGAGGGGAGACCTTGGCTAAGCCTACCAGTCGCTCAGCGGAGGTGAAAGCACCGTCGGTAGGGTCAGCACTGAGGGAAGATGCAGAGCTGGAGTCGTGTGTACTGCTCCTTGGCCAAGGTGAGGGTGCTGGGCCAGAGGCGCAGGGATGCGGCTCATAGGTCTGGACGCGGCCTGCCGCCGGCAACCGCCGGGGCCCCGCCTCTGTGCTGGTTCAGCCTGGCCTCCTGGGGCCGCGGGCAGCGGGGAGCGCGGCCCGGGCCGGGGAAGGCCCCGCTGTGAAATGACGGCCCGCAGCCCCACACCCCGCTTCCGGACGTGGGCCGAGGGGACTGGGCCTTTACCCGGGCACGGGGACGAGTAAATCACGCCTGTCACCCGCTGGGTACCCTCAGCTCAACCCTGACCTGGGAGTGAGTAGGTAACCTTGAGGTGCGAATGGCCCAGACGTGGTCAGTCCCAGCACACAGCCATGCGAGTTTCTCTAAGGTCTGCTCTGCGTTCGCGTTTCTAAACTAGTGCCCTCTTCCATCCGCCAGACCCAGGGGCTTATATTTTTAATTGCAGCCGCCTATCGTCCAAACCACTTTCCCATTTCACCTGCCAGTATGCGGCGTCGTGCTGGGTAGCGTGACAGCTTTAGAGATAATACATAGATCAGACTCGTTATTTCACATCTGAGTCGTCCTCAAAAATTAATGTAACATGCAAAATGCTGTTCTTTCAGGGAGAAGCTGAGCTGGGACTAAAACTCAGTACAGTTTGCTCTTCTTTGCTTGTCATGTCTTGATCTCAAGTGCAGAAGTTACCGCCAAGTAAAGAACATTGCTACATCAGAGTATATTGTCACTGCCTTCCATTGATTGGCTCGCTATGATAGGAGCTGGAACTTGCTTTGTTTCTTTGTCTCACTGGTCTTAGGAAATGGTAGGCATAGTGTTTAGAGAGTGTGAGATTATGATGCAATTTGTGGAACTTTCAGAATGTGAGTACACTGATACTGCTGGTATGTTCCTAGTTTAATTTTCTGTTCATAGTTGGTAGCTCAGAACATCTTCATAAATGTTGTGATTACAGACTGTTAAATAGATTAGTTAGAAAGCATAATAAGTGAAATGATTGTTGTTGAAGTATTCAAATACCTGAGTTGAAAGTTTCAGATTTTTAATTAGAATACTAAAATGATCTTTGGCATTAGAATTAGCCATGCTTTCTGACATTTTAATAAAGCTGTTAGACATTGAGTATATTTTATTAAGTTAATATGAGGAGGTTCATAGAATATTCATAATAATAAGGCAGATCTGGCAAGATAAGATTGTGAAAGTTGAATATTATTGACAAAGAGGGGAAATTGATAGGATACCCTTTGTGGTAACAGAAAGACCATTAAGAATCAGTGCTTGATACATTTGCCTCAATTTGTTGTCATCAACCTTCTAAATTACATTTATTTATTTGCATGTATCTGTGGAGGCATGAGCATCTGTGGAGGTTAGAGTACAACCTTTTGGGAATGTTGGTGGCAGAAGCCTTTATTTAACTATGTCACCAGCCTGTTGTAAAAATTATATTTTACTTAACAGGACAGTTTTTCTTTTTTTTCTAGAGAGGCCATTTCAATCGGATATCTCATGGCTTACAAGGAGTTTCTTCAGTGCCTTTAAGAACTTATGCAGATCAACCAAGTAAGTACTCCATGCAATGTTTTCAGTCAGATTAGTTGACAGTTCATTTCCATTATGTAAAAGAAAGCGAGTGTTAGAGTAACTGTTACTCAGTGTTAGAATTAATTTATACATTAGCTTACTGTTGAACACCTAGTATGTTACAAGAGGTAAACAAGACAGAATCCAATCTTAAGACACTTAGAGGCTAGTATTAAAGGATAAGTAACAAGTGTTTGGAGAGTAATTGAAAATTAAAGCAAGATACTAGGAACTTAGAGAGGATGTCAGGGAAAGCCTTTTGAGGAGTGGTGTCTTGAGAAGGGGATGGGGATGTGAAAGGTTTGAAATGGAACTTAATTTTTGAGCCTCCAGGAAAAGCAAGACTAGGGTGGATGGACAAAGTCCCAAGAAATAAAATCAGAGACATAGGCAGGGATGTGGAGTGCTTCTAAGCCAGACCAGGTGATATACATTTTACTCCAGTTGTGATGGAGAGCCACAAGGGGGTTTTGAGCTGAGCAATTTCATGTGATTAAAGCTTTTAAGAATTTTATCCACTGGGTCAGATTGTGTTGGTTGTTTCAAAGCTTTTGACATCTTGAATGAAATTTTTTAAGACTACCATAAAAGGGAGCTGTGGGATGTATAATTTTCTTAATGCTTTCTTGAGGTTTTGAATTTTCTATAAGAAATATGTATTTTAAATAAGCACTTGGAGGGCTGGGCGGTGGTGGCACACGCCTTTAATCCCCAGCACTTGGGAGGCAGAGCTAGGATCTCTAAGTTCAATGCCAGACTGGTCTACAGAGTGAGATCCAGGACAGACACCAAAACTACACAGAGAAACCCTGTAGCTGAACAAATCTCCCTCACCCGCCAGTCCCACAGCTTCTTGGATCTAAGTAAACACACAGAGACTTACATTACTTAAAACTGTATGGCCGTGGCAGGCTTCTTGCTATCTAGTTCTTATATCTTAAATTAACCCATTTCTATTAATCTATACCTTGCCACGTGGCTCGTGGCTTACTGGTATCTTTACATGTTACTTCTCGTGGTGGCAGCTGGCAGGCAGTGTCTCCTGACTCAGCCTTCCATTTCCCGGAATTCTCCTCTCTGTCCCACCCATACTTCCTGCCTGGCTACTGGCCAATCAGCACTTTATTTATTAACCAATGAGAGCAACACATTCACAGCATACAGATATTCACAGCACCCCCCCCCCCTTTTTCCCCAAAAAGGAAGATTTTAACTTTAACATAGTAAAATTACAGATAACAAAACAATTATCAAGCAAGAATTACAGTTACAATATCTAGTCTATTTATAATATCTAGTCTGTTTGTATTTGGCAAAATTAAAGAAGATATCCTATCTATCCTATATTTGTGAGTCTAAGGTTTCATATCTAACTTTTTTATCATAACTAAGGAAATTATAACTATCTAGTCTTCAACTACATCAAAGACCTCAGAAGGATATAATATTACCTGAGAAACGGGAGAAAGACAAGCAGCTTTTGGGAGTCTTGTGAGAGTAGACAGAGACAGCTGGCAGCCTGGACAGTCATCCAAAGTTCCTTTATAAAGTTGGGGCATCTGTCTTTAGCCCATGGGCCTAGTGTCTCTTGGTCACTTCTCTGTGTCCTGTAGAATGTCTGGCAGTTTCTTCTGTGAAGCAGGAACCTGAAGGACCATTTTGCCAAGCAAAGTTCAGTGGTCACCTTTCCATGGGTCCTGCATGTCCAGTCAATCAAGCAGTCCAGGCAAGAACAGTTTCTTGTCCAAATGGCTAATTTTGCCAAGAAGAAGATAAACTCTATATCATATAGAGTGTCTTCGATGCCCATCCTCCTCTCTGAAGTAAATCCGTGCTGCCAGGAGCAGACATGTCTCACTGTCCAGAAAGTCTAAATTTTAAAAACATTTTAAATGCCATATTCTGTAGGTCTTTGAAGTGTTTGAAGATTACCTACCTAATTGAACTATATCTAGGTATAACTAGAAAATTTAACATGACTATAAGTTTGACTATCATAGAAGACTAATTATTAATCTGTATTTTTCAATTATCCATTACAATCTAAATGAGCTACACAAACACAATACCTCAAACGAGAACAGAAACATATATACAGTATAACAAAATTAAGTTTAAACTTGTATCAATAAACTAAAATCCATAGCAATGTAAAACATTTGTAAACAAGATGTTGCTCTTTAAAAGTAGGTTCATTAATCTACCCTTTTATCCCATATATCTATACTATCCCCTTTTCTTCCTGAGGAAGAGTTTGCATTTATAATCAACCTGCTTTAAATAAAAATATTGGTTTTTCTCTGTCCCACACCAGAGGGCTTTTCTGATATAGGACAGAAGAATCTTTCAACTTTTTATTTTAGCAAATACGTTTGGGTTTAGAGAAGGAGTGAGCCAATTCCATCACCAAAGCCAGCTTGGTATATTTGGGAATTTGGGTGTAGCTTCTCATACTACTTCTTGCTGGATGAGGGTGCTATATTCTTATGGGGACATAAAGAAAAATTTTAGGATTATGGGGTAGTCTGTGAGGCTATATTGTGTGAGCCAGTTACAGCATACAGATATCCACTGCAAAACCCTGTCTTGAAAAACAAAAAAACAAAACAAAACAAAACAAAAAAAGTACTTGGAATGGGATAAATGGGCTTTTAGTGTGGTATTTAACTTCCTAGTACAAAAAACATTTGATGTGATCTATTTACTGGACTCATCCATAAAATTTAAATTTTAAAACATTTTACTATTTAATTTTGTGTCTATATTATGGTGTGTGTAAGTGTATGAGTACCTGTGTGCATGCCACAGTTCAGGTGTGGAGATCAGAGGACAGCCTTGGGTGTCCTGTAGTAGGAGACTATTATGATATATTCATTGCCTTCTATTTTCTTTTCAGTCTTTGGGCAGGCACTTAGATTTTTTTGGGGGGGGCGGGTTCGAGACAGGGTTTCTCTGTGTAGCTTTGCGCCTTTCCTGGAACTAACTCTATAGTCCAGGCTGGCCTCGAACTCACAGAGATCCTCCTGGCTCTGCCTCCCGAGTGCTGGGATTAAAGGCGTGTGCCACCACCGCCTGGCTAGATTTTAATGGAGTGAGACCATACTGGTTAGTTCTTGTCTACTTGACACAAACTAGAGTCACCTGAAAAGAGGGACCATCAAACTGATCTATGGGCATTCTGTAGCTTGTGTTCTTGAGGTGGAAGGGTCAACTCCACTGTAGCAGGTAGTCATGAGCTATCATAAGAAAGTAAGCTGAACAAGCCTGTAAGCAGCATTCCTTCATGGCCTGTGCTTCAGTTCCTGCCTCCAGGTTCCTGCCTTGTCTTTCCTTTAAGATGAAGCCCTTTCCTCCCTAAGTTGCTTTTAGTCACAATGTTTATCACAGCAACTTTTTACCTCAAAAAATACAAACTTTATCAGGGCAAAGACTGATTTTTCTTTAGTACCTAAGATCCTCATTACAGTTGATCCTCATTACATGCTTACTGGATAAAGAACACTGAGGCCGTGTCTGTTTTAGTTACTATATCACAAAATATCCAATATGGTCACCATACAAAATTATACCAGCTACAATCCCAATACTATTATCTGATGTGTGGCTTAGTTTTGTTCCAGACACAGTCTCAAAGCCTCATGTCTGTCCTACTTGGCCATTCCTCTCTGTTAGCTCTTAGAGAGGGAGGAGAATCCTTCTAACTCTTGACCCTACAGTCACTATTTTTATTCTTTTTGTAGAGTATTGGTTGACCATCTTGGGAAAATCAAAGCTTATGATACGATTTCTGTTAGAACACCTAGGATGTGTTTGAATATTCTTATAAAAAGCAAATTCATCAAGATGTGTGATGTCCTGTTAACTGTTGATAATCACCTTGCATTTCATAATAGACACAGATTTGTTGCATTTAGATCATATTTACATTCATTCATTCACTGTTTCATTTATATTTATTTTCTTTTTTTTTTTTTTTTTTTTTTTGGAGACAGGGTTTCTCTTTGTAGCCCTGGCTGTCCTGGAACTTGCTCTGTAGACCAGACTGGCCTTGAACTCAGAGATCCACCTGCCTCCTGAGTGCTGGGATTAAAGGCATATGCCACCACTATTTTTTGGTTTTTGGTGGTGTTGTTTTTTTTCAGGACTGTGGGAGCACTTTTCAGAAAATCCTTGTTTAGCCTGTACCTGAAGTATTTTCCTTTAGCAGTTTCAGAGTCTTATGTGAGGGTTGTTGGTCCACTTTGAGTTTTTGTACATTGTAAGAAATGAGACTCTAGTTTCAGTCTTCTTTGTATGGATATCCAGTTTTCCCAGCACCATTGTTGGAGAGGCTATCTTTTTTGGCGTCTTGGTAAAGCAATAACAAACACCACCACCAACAAAAACCATGTGGCTGTAGTTGGATGGTTTTATTTCTGTGTCTCATTCTATTCCATTGGTGTACATGTCTGTTTTGTGGGTGTGTACACACACCAGCACCTTGCTTTTTTTTGTTGCTATGGCGCTATAGTACAGAAATTATGTTGGTGTTGTTCTTTTTCCTCAGGATTGTTTTCTATTTTTGTGAAAGATTGCATTGAAGTTTTGATGGGTATTACATTGAGATTGTTTGTCTTTTTTGGTAATATAGTCATTTTCACAATATTAATTCTTCCTATCCATGAGGAGGGAAATTTTCCATTTTCTAGTGTTGTCTTCAGTTTCTTCCTTCAGTGCTTTAAATTTTCAATGTAGCAGTCTTTCTCCTCTTTGGTTAAATTTATAACTAGGTTTAAAAAGTTTCATTTATTTATTTGATCATATTGGAGATGCATTTTTCCTGTTTTCTTCCTCAGCATGTTCATCATTGATTAATAGAAAAACTACTGACTTTTGTACATTGATTTTGTGTCCTGCTGTTTCAAACTGGAAGTGTTCATCAGATCTGACAGTCAGAGGAATTAATTTTTGTGGACAGCAATGTCAGACTGGCTCCTTATTACCACAGAACAGAACTGAAAATACACGTAGCAAGTAGAAGTTAGACATATCTTAGGTATTTAATTACTGTTTTGTAGTAAGTTATTGGTTAGCTGCTTAAATATAGTAGTGATCTGAACAAAACTGAACTTCTTCGAATTTCACAGTCTTCCTAGTGAAGACAACATCTAACAAATACTTGTAATCATGATAAACAGGCCAGTGACTAAGGATGAGGATTTATGATATCTATCATATATGTGGATTGGGAATGGTTGCATAATTCTTAAGGATTTTATGTTTATGTATGTAATGATTATTAATTGTCACCTTGCCAGCATCTGGAGTCACCTAGGAGATGAGCCTTGGGGACATACATACCCATGAGGTTAGATTAGCTTTTGAGGAATTACCTTGATTACATTGGTTGGGAAAATCCATCTTAATTGTGGGGGCGACTACTACCTGGGCAGGGGATCCTCGACTATATAAAGTGGAGAAAGGGAGCTGAACACTCTGCTTTCTGGTTGTGGATGTGATATCTCCAGCTTCCTCAAGCTCCTGATGTCTTAACTTCCCTGTCATGGTGGCTGACATGACCTTGAACTGTGATCCAAAATAAACCCTTCTTTAAGTTGCTGTATTTTGTCACATCAACAGGAAAAGAAACCCAGGTGTTGTCTGAAGAGGGATGGGTAGACATGGGTGAATGGGTGAATAGTGTAATGTGGAAAGAAGCATAGGTGTGTGTGTATAATTTTTTTTTTTTTTTGGTTTGTGAGACAGGGTTTCTCTGTGTAGTTTTGGTGCCTGTCCTGGATCTCACTCTGTAGACCAGGCTGGACTTGAACTCACAGAGCTCCACCTGGCTCTGCCTCCTGGGATTAAAGTCCTGCACCACCACTTCCTGGCTGAAGCATAGTATGTTTAAACCACTAAAAAGGCCACAGTGCTGGCACATTGAAGATTGAGAGTTGACTTCTCAGATAGGAAGTTGGGAATCAGTTTTAAGCAGAGCCATCATAGGATCAAATTTATTTTAAAGATCATTCCAGTTGGGCTTTATTTCAATTTTTTTATTTTTCTCTAACCATAAGAGGCAGAGTAAACATTATATACATATATTCCAAGAACTTAGTGTTTGAAATGTGAAATGTATGCTGTCAGTATGTAGTTGTAGATAATGAAACAATGCATATACGTGGGCTAGTATAATCCTGTGCATGTAAGTGAACACTGAAGCTTAAATTGCTTGGTACTGATTGGTATGCAGGATGGGGTGGGAGATGAGACTGGAGAAATAGATACTGAAAAGATTTTGGTGTTATACTTAGGAAGGTGGAGTTGCTTTAGTAAGAGACAGGGAAATTAATGAAGAGTTAGAAAATAAGATCTGAGCTGGCTTTTCAGATCTAGCACAAGGGGTAGCAGTATCGGCTTTTGCCAGGATGGGACTAAAGCTGGATGCTCATTTTCTAGTCTGGCCAGACAGAATGTGTCAGGCAAATCTAAGAAAGGAAGCAACATATACTGAGTGGTTTTTTACATATATTTTCTTTGGTTATTAACAACCTTAGACTGTTAGACATCATTACCATTATACATGGGTTGTTATCAACAAAGAATTGAAATTTTTTTTCTCAAGAATTTAAGGTTGTATAGTTACTATTTGACTCCAGATTAAAAAAAAATATATTATTTTATCTTTATTTTATGTGTATGCCCTCATGTATATATATATGTTCATCATTTGCATGCCTAGTGCCTATAATGGCCAGAAGAGGGTGTCAGATTCTCTGGAACTGGCATTACAGACGGTTGTATACTTCCATGTGGGTGCTGGGAATCAAACTCAGGTTCTCTGGAAGAGCAGCCAGTACTCTTAACCACTGAGCCATCTTTCAGCCCTGAACCTAGATTGAGTTTAGTCCTTCTTTTCTTTTCTTTTCTTTCTTTTCTTTTCTTTTCTTTCTTCCTTTTTTTTTTTTTTTTTTTTTTTTTTTTTTTTTTTTTTTTTTTTGGTGTTGTTGTTGTTTTGAGACAGGGTTTCTCTGTCTTAACAGTCTTGGCGGTCCTAGAATTCTCTTTGTAGACTAGGGTGGCCTCAAACTCACTGAGATCCGCCTGCCTCTGCCTCCCAAGTGCTGGGATTAAAGGCATGTGCCACCACCACCGCCTGGCTCCTGATTATATTCTTAAGGACTAAAAGTTTTTAGGATTATGATTAGAAAGTGAATTATTTCAGTTCAGGATTTCAGATGATGAGCACTTTGGGGTAAGAGTGAATATTAACATATTTATGGGAGAAGCTTGGAGATTAAGGCCATTGACAGTTTAAAAATTACCTTTAGCCCTCAACATTCTGTCTTGTGATTACAAAGTAATTTTTTTTGTGTGATTATTTTGCAGATGAAGGGTTAAAGGGAAGCAAGTCAAATTACTCACCCAAGGTCATCTTGCTAGTGGTTTAAAGTGTTGCTCTTTGGGATTTTAACTTATGAAGGCTGAAACTAAAGAACAGGATTGTATTAAACAAAAAGAAAAACACCAGATGTAGAGTCAAAAAGCTTAGTTGGTCTCTGCCACTTAATTGCTAGATAGTTTGGGCTAGTCAGTTCATTTCTGAATCTCTTATTTTCTTCTTGAAAATGTTATGTTTATATCGTCCTTGTCTTCATCATATTACAAAAGAGGTATATCATTTGGTATATGATAACCAGTGAGTGGCAGCTGGATATAAGCTTCATATTCTAGGATTCAGTTGTATTTGCCTACTATAATGAATAGAAAGTAAAAGTGGGATTTCAAAATTTGTATCATTTTTAGTTGCATCAAAGAACATCAGATATCTTGGAACAAAATAATGCCATGTAGAACATGCTGATTATTTGGAGGGTTTTTGGTAAATGTTAGTGATTTACCATTTTATATCAATCTGCCCTTATTATAGTTGATGCAGATGTGACAGTCATTGGTTCTGGCCCTGGAGGATATGTTGCTGCCATCAAAGCTGCCCAATTAGGCTTTAAGGTAAGATAGACCCAAAGTAGATGTTGCTTTGTTTTACTATAGGTCAAGCTTATTTTAGCCACAACATGTTTTGCAGGTAAAAACATGGGAAATAATTAGACAATTAAAAAAAAATTATGTACTTGAGTGTTTTACATGCCTGCATGTATGTTTGTGCACTCTGTGCATGCATTGCCCACAGATGCCAGAAGATGGCATCAGATCCTTTGGGACTGGAGTTATAGACAGTTGTGAACCAGCATGTGGGTTCTGGGAATTAAACATAGGTCCTCTGGAAGAACAACCAGTTCTCTTAACCACTGAGCCACCTCTCTAGCTCAGGAAATTATTATTAGTTTTTAAAATATAGATTATTTGTAAATCTGAGACTAATGGGCTTTATTGGTTGTAGTAGTCTCATAGTATAGAAAAGTCAGCTATTTTTTTCTGAAATACTTCATTTGAGATACAGTGATAATACTAAAACATGTTTGTGGTGATGTTGGACAAAAATCTTTTTAGATTAATTCACTCTGGAGTTATCCTCATTTTTTATTATTCAAATGATAGGTTTCAAAGGGTTCTTTTAGTCTGAAAAAGCACAACTTGAGTAGCTTGCTTTATAGAGCAATTTAGACATGTATATTTTGAATTTTAGTGAAATGAAATATGCCTTTACATATAATTAAGTAATGTTCTCTTTGATTGTAGACAGTCTGCATTGAGAAGAATGAAACACTAGGTGGAACATGTTTGAATGTGGGTTGTATTCCTTCAAAGGTGAGCATGTATTTCAAATGCTGCAAAGATTGTTTTTCATTAGCTACTGCTGACTCCAGAGATGTATTGAGACTAGATTGGTAATCTAATACAGTTCCTTAAAAGGAATCTGAGCATGCTTATAAGACTTTTTCCTTTGTAAACCTACTACTGTTACAGCCTATCATACATTTTGGAAATTCATCCTTTTCCAGACTCCAGTGTTCCAGTTTTGTTTTTTCTTTAGCTTTCTATTGCCACTGAAAATTTTTTTTAAACGTTTTTGTGTGTGAAAACAGGAAGCCCCGTTTGACCTGCCACCTTGAAGTGTGTTCGTACTATTTTACTTTTAAAGAACATAATTTTGTTTTGTTTTTATTCTTGTGTGTTTTATGTCGCTATTGTTTGTCTTAGGTTAATTGTGTAAGAAGGAAAGATAAATTCATATTGTAGTGTGTTCTATTCTAAATAGAAAAATGTCATTTTGTAAGTTTGCTATGGAGTCTATTTATGATTTAGTAAATTTGCCTTACTTCTTTTAGGCTTTACTGAATAATTCTCATTATTACCATATGGCTCATGGAAAAGATTTTGCATCTAGGGGAATTGAAAGTAAGTATACTTTTTACAGTTAATAGTACCAGTCATGCTTGACTTTGCTTGCTAAATACTGGTATGTATGAACAGTTATTTATTCAAGGATGAGTGAGATAAAAATCTTGAAATTTAGAGAGATTTACATAAGAATGCTTAGGTTCAAATTTCTACCATGACAACTTCTGTGTCTTTGCAAGGTTTTCCTAAGTTCTGGTGTCAGTGAAGAGTCAGTTTTTAATTTCCCTCACAACTTTCGAATGTGGGAGAGGCTAGATTCTTGAGTACTGTGCTATTGACAGACAAGATTGAAGGAAGAGCAGGCCTACCTGAGTTGTTGGTGGAAAGAAGAGAAAGAGAGCTAGAAGAGAGGGAGAAGGGAGAGGTTTAGTGAGAAGACTGTTCATAACATTTGCATTTAGTCTGTATTGTCTTTACCATGTTTTGGAGGGCTGTTTTTAATCCCTTTTTTCTAGTTATATTTGACAAATACTTCCAGAAGATAGACTTAATGTACTTTGTGTCGTTTATTTTTGCAGTAGTAGTTTCTGAAAGAGGTTGTGTAGGGAGTCCAGCATGTAGATGGTATATACTGTAGCAAGTATGTCACACTATGTGAAAGTACCATGATGTTAGAAGACATGGGATAGTCAGAAGACATGCATAATAGGCAAGCTTTATCTTTTAGCTTCGTGACTTTGCAGTCAGAAATGTCAAAGAATCTGTGTATGTGTTAGCTGCATGGGCTGGTTGCTGTGTCTTTTCCTCTGCGTTCTATTGAGTTGAACATTTTTATCTTACGTTGTTGCTTTAGTAGTGAGTTAAGTGAATTTTAAAATCTAGTTGATTAAACTAAACTCATTATATTAAGCTTTTGTATTTTGAAATGTTGAAATATATACTTAATTGTTTTTGTTTCATGAAATTTTAACATTTGTCTATATTTATAATTTCAGGTAATGTTTTACTTTGCCATTTTTACTTAACTGTCTTCCAGACTAATAACCATCATAAAGTACTTGTTGAATGTCACAGTGGACTAGCACATTTTTATTTTAGACTGCATTTTTTGCACAGATGCACATTTTCCAGTGCTTGATAGGTTCTATTATTGTGATGTGGTGATTTAGCTTTTCTGGCTATAGTTATGACAGTTACTAAATTTTAGAAGTTAATACTGTCTTTTATATAGTTTTATCAACATTGAGATGAATATTTTCAGATCTTGATTAGTCAAAAACTATCACATATTGCTTTCAGAGTTTAAATAATGACAAAATTTATGTAACAAATTGCAGTGTCAGAAGTTCGCTTGAATTTAGAGAAGATGATGGAGCAGAAGAGCTCTGCAGTCAAAGCATTAACAGGAGGAATTGCCCACTTATTCAAACAAAATAAGGTTAGTTGGTGTTCAGTGTTCAGTATCCCATATACATTTAGTGGAAGGCGCAGACAGACACACCATGCGACAAGGCTCATGTGGAGGATTTTATTGAGGCGGGGGAAGAAAGGAGGCACAGGGTAGCCTCTGGAGATGGGAAGCCTCAGGAAGAGAGGAGGAGGATGAGGAAGAGAGAGAGGCTGGGGCGGAAGAGAAGGGAAGAGAGATGGGAGGCGACAAGAGAAGGAGGTGCTGAAGCAGATGAAGAAGTGATGATGGGAAAATGGAGAGGGAGACAAGGAGAGAAGGAAGCGGGGAGGGGAGAGGATATGGGGTGGGGTGGGTTCGCCTTTACTAAGGGGATTTAGCACTTGCACATAGAGACCACGCAGCCACGCAGTGCATGCGTATGCACTGTGTAATAACATACGGCAGGCAGTAGGACCTTGGGCTGACTAAGTGATGCCAGAAATACATGAAATAATTGCTTTATGCTAATAGAATGATGCTCTATGATCTTGGCCTGCTGTGGGATATCAAATTTAAAACAGTACTAAAACATTTTAAAAAATGTCATCATCCAAACCGTAAAAAGAACAAAAACCAAAATCCAAAATAATACTACCCTGAAACAGATCCATGAGACAGTGTTCTTGCTGCTACATGTGCTACATATTATTAAGGAAGTATTTTATGTTCTGTGTTACCAGAGTACTGTTCCTGTTATTTGTATCAGAAAAATATTTTAAGCATATATATATATATTACTTTATAAAGGTTGTTCACGTCAATGGATATGGAAAAATAACTGGCAAAAATCAGGTCACAGCTACAAAAGCCGATGGCAGCACTCAGGTTATTGGTACAAAAAACATCCTGATAGCTACGGGTTCAGAAGTTACTCCTTTTCCTGGAATCACGGTATTTATGTTTTCTAATTTAGCTCTTACAACCTTTCTTACAAAATAGGCTTTTATCAATTTGTTCTGTTTATAAATGTTGAATGATTCCTGACTAAAACACTGTAATCAGGCAGCCATTTAGCTTGCAAAGTTACTTATTGTTTTGCAGTGATTATGATCAGATATAGAACATTTTAGAGTATGTTTGAGTTCAGTATGAGGTTAAGCCAGGCATGGTGGTGAATACTTGTAATCCAGCATTTGGGAGGAAAAAGGCAGGAAGATTGCTACAAGGTCAGTGTTAAACTGGTCTAGCAGCAAAGACTACACAGTGAGACAGTCTCAGTAAAAGAGCTAGTGAGATAGCCCAGTGAATAAAGTGCTTGTTAAACATTTATGTAAACAGTGGGTCATAGTGGCATGGGCTTGTAGTCCTAGCAAAGCTGAATGATAGCTGAGGTTGACCTTTTGCCTCCACACACATAAATACGTATACACAACAAAACACAAAATATGAAGCTAAAATTAATCATTTTTATTTTGGAATATCAATTTATAAGTCAAATTAGCATTTTGAATGAGAGTTGATGAGATTATAGTATTTAGAAGCCATGAATTTTATGGCATGAGATCACAATTAATAACTTACTAGGTTTTTCCAAGTAATTCTGCTTGCTTTTGCTTTTTTTTATAGATTGATGAAGATACTATAGTGTCATCTACAGGAGCTTTATCCTTAAAAAAAGTTCCAGAGAAATTGGTTGTTATTGGTGCAGGAGTAATTGGTGTAGAATTGGTAAGTTATTGTATATTATATTATCTCTGTGGAGTTGAAAGGGACTTAAAGCCTCTTGGGAGGCTGAAGAGATAGCTCAGTGGTTAACAAAACATACTGTTCTTCCAGGGGACCCTAGTTCAGTTACCGGCACCCATATCCAGCAGCTCACAACCACCTGAACTCCAGCTCCAGGAGTCCTCCATCTATACTCACATGCACAGACCCACATACACATGCACACATGTGTATTTTATTTTACTTAAAAATAAAATATCTGGGGCTGGAGAGATGGCTCAGAGGTTAAGTGCACTGACTGCTCTTCCAGAGGTCCTGAGTTCAATTCCCAGCAACCACATGGTGGCTTACAACCATCTACAATGAGATCTGGTGCCCTCTTCTGGCCTGCAGTCATTTATGCTGTATACATAATAAATAAATAAAATAAATCTTTAAGAAAAAATAAAAAAATAAAATATCTGTCTCTCAAAAAGAAGAACAGGATCAGGCATGTTTAAGGTACAAGACAGAAGGGAGAGATGCCTCAGTGGTTAAGTGTACTTGCTGCTCTTGCAGAGGAACTGGGTTCAGTTCCCATACGGTGATTTTGAACTCTCTGTAACTCCAGTTCTAGGGGATCTATGCCCTCTTCTAGTCTCTGAGGGCACCAGGTGTGTGCATGATGCCCAGACATACATGTAGACAAACACCCATTCATGTAAAATTTTTAAAGTCTTAAAAAACAAAAAACTTGGTGCCCAGACATATATGTAGGCAAACACCTATTCATATAATTTTCTTTTAAATCTTAAAAAACAAAAACAAAACAAAAAACCCTACCTCTATTTGATTCTTTACATAGCATTTTAGGTCAGTCAACATTGAGTTTTGCTTAAAACTTTCTAGTAATAGCAAATACACCTTTTCTTCCAATATAACTTATTTAGGTAATCATTAGTCTTTAGTATGTCCTTTATTTTATAGTCTGTTTCTTTGTTTTCTCACCCTTCCTGATCATTGGAACTGGCCTCCTTTTTAATCTGATAACCCTTAACATACTGAAAAATAGTTCTCATTCTGAGCAAATTGCATTCCAATAAAGCTCCTTGAGATAGCATACACAATGACTCTTACCTTCTTCCTAACATATATTTTAGAAATGCCAAGTTCTGAGCACTATGGTATTTCATACCTTCTGCCTGCTTTGTTCTCCTTTCTTATCTATTTGCTAAGTTTCTACTTAACTTGTAACGAATCTTTCCCTTTATTTCAGGTATCCTCTTACAGGGCCATCACATCTTACTATCAAGGATTGCTCTGCCTCTCCTGCCCTCAGCTCAGACTTTTCCTGGCCACACTCATCTCTTAATTACTCCCACTATAATTAGGTGCTTGATTTTTCTAGTTCAGAAATTCAGTAGCTTATATTATCTGTGTTTTTCTGTCTTGACTGATTTCCTGATCAGTTTAGATTCCATAGCCTATTGCTTTTACTGTTTCTTTTTTTTTTTTTTTTTCCGAGACAGGGTTTCTCTGTGTAGTTTTGCGCCTTTCCTGGAACTCACTTTGTAGACCAGGCTGGCCTCGAACTCACAGAGATCTGCCTGGCTCTGCCTCCCGAGTGCTGGGATTAAAGGCGTGCGCTACCACTGCCCGGCTACTTTTACTGTTTTCTTAAGTGAGTTACTTAACCATTTTTTATACTGGGTATTGAACATAGGGACTAGTGTTAGTTGTTAATACAGGCCTCAAGCATGCTAGGCAAGCACTGTACTACTAACCTATATCCTCAGCCCTCTTCTAGATGTAATTCTAAATGGTCTTATTAAATAAGAAACACAGATGCCGGGCAGTGGTGGCGCACGCCTTTAATCCCAGCACTCGGGAGGCAGAGCCAGGCGGATCTCTGTGAGTTCAAGGCCAGCCTGGGCTACAGAGCGAGTTCCAGGAAAGGCACCAAAGCTACACAGAGAAACCCTGTCTCGAAAAAACAAAAAAACAAAACAAAAAACAAACAAACAAAAAATAAGAAACACAGAGCCAAATAAAGAGTTAAAAGCCCAGAGATCGAGCAGCAGCCAAGAGCTAAGACCACCTTATCTTACCACTCACTTGCTTCTCCTGAGAGAGAGACCTTCTTCCTGTGTTCTGTCTCTTTATCGACTTTCTGTTTTGCCTTCTCATTGGTTCTAAACCCAACCACATGACTTCTTCGTCACTGCCTGTCTATACAGACCTCTAGGTCTCTATGGTTGGTACTGGGATTAAAGGCGTGTGTCACCATGCTGGCTGTGTCCTTGAGCACACAGAGATTTTGCCTGCCCTGTGATCGGATTAAGGGCGTGTGCTACCACTACCAGACTTCTGCTTAATGGCTTACTCTTAGAGCTCTGATCCCCAGGCAACTTTATTAACATACAAGTCAAATCACATTTCAGCACAAATAAAATATCACCATACTCTTTTCTTTTTATTTTGAGTCAGAGCTTTTCAGTAAGTTGCCAAGGCTGGCCTTTTAATTCACTTGGTAGCCCAGGTAGGCATTGAACATGGAATATCCCTCCCTCTGTCCCCTGGGTATTGAGGATTACAGTCCTGCTCTTCCATCAGGCTTGCCTGACTTACTTTACTTTTCTGACATACTTGCCTGGAAAAACTCTATAGTCTTGGTTGAATTTAGCAGTCAGTCTTCCTTTGCTGTCCTCTTCATGTGGAGGAAAGTAGACCTTTTGGATTGGTACCTGTATTAAGTTCTTATTGAAGTCATAGACCTTAACATGCACCTCAGTCTGGCTGATAATCCATTATTTCCCGAGCTGAATTCTGGTCTCTGTCATGTCCACTTATTTCTCTTGTTCTACTCTACTGGAACATTGTTTTCCCTACCTCACATGGGACTTCCTGAGTAACGCATAGGAGAGAGCATGGGATGAAAATGCTTGATCTCTTCACCTCTTCTTTATACTTTATAACATGATTTTCTGCCTTCACAATGACTTAGTTTTGTGGGTTTTTTTTTTTTTTCTTTAAAATCAGTCTACTTTCTACCCCTCCCCCCTTTATTGAGAGAGGGTCTCATATAGCCCTTACTGGTCTAGACTATGCTATGTAGATCAGACTGGCCTTGAACTTACAGTAGTCCTTTTGCCTCAGCCACCTGAGTTCTAGGATTGTAGGCGTGTACACCTGGCTATTTTCCTTTTGATTTACAGTTGAACATGCCTTTCTGTTTATACCTGGGTGTCACACACATGCTTATGTAAATATAAGCTTTCTAGTAAGCTTGTCCTTCAGGTATTAATTCCCCTCCCACTTTCTTTTTTCCATCAGATTTCTCAAAAGAGTACTCATGTTCTCTTTTATCACCTTCTACTTAATCCTCAGACCATGACCTCTTGTGCCAAGAAATTACTCCTGAGAAGGACACAAATGGGTTTTATTATTCAATTCTTTGGATTGTTTTCTTTGCTGCTGTGTTTAGCAGCAGTTAGCTTTGTGATTTTTTGCCTTGGAAAATTTCCTAGCTTCTCAGACTTTCTTCCTTCCTTCCTTCCTTCCTTCCTTCCTTCCTTCCTTCCTTCCTTCCTTCCTTCCTTCCTTCCTTCCTTCCTCCCT